GCACGTCCGCACTACATATTGTTAAATCAATTCTTTTCTCCACTTCCGTTTTTTTTTTTTTGAAAAAATATGCTCTTTAATCTCCAATTCGGTTCATTGAGGGTTTGTTTACTTTTTCTTTTTCATTTCATTATTTTATGTTTTACACACTATAATATTTTCTTATATGTTTTACACACTAAAATATGTTTTCTTATATTTTACTTTTTCATAATATTTTTCTTTGTACTTTTCTTTACATATATCTTCTCTTTAGTTTTTGTATTTATCATTCTATCTATTTTGATTTATCTATTTTGGGAATTTCTTTATGTGCAATAAAGATGTAAGTCACGTTTATAAGAATTCATTTCATGTTAATTGAAAAGTGCACAACAACTCATATGTAAGTGCACAACATAACTAAGATTACTTTGATGCACTTATCATATCTTATTCATGCACTTTCCATTATTTTTAGTTTTCTTTTTTTACAAACACATGTGACACCAAAAGACAATGTCTTAATTAGATAATTGTCATTAAAAGGGCCTTAATTTGTGCGATATAATAGTGCACTTTTGTATATATTTAAAACACACACGATAAAAATACATTTAACTTTGTAACAAAGTGCAAACATAAAATTTAATAAAGTACTACGTATAATATAATGGTCCACTTTTTATTTATATTAGAAATGCACATGATAGCTGTTTGTTTACAAACCCTCTGATGTTTACTTTCATTTTTATTTAGAAATATATAGAAGTGCACAACTACAAAGGCTAAAGTGCATATTAATGACTTGATTGTAAAGGTTAATTGAATAAAAATATTAATTTTGTCCTTAACAAAATCGATAATAAGATAATAGCCATCTATTAACTTCTAATATGATAATAATAATAAATTTTGTGTTAAACTTTTGATGCACTTTTCAATAGTTTTTCGTTTTACACTTTTTTGCCGATAAAAGTGACACTAGGAGATGGAATCATAATGGAATTCGTGATGTTTTCTAAAGAAAAGTGCATCTCATGTAAAATTTTAGAAAAATGTGATACTAGTGCACTTTTATATAGATTTAAATGCACACTAAAAGTGCATTTTACTCTGTAAGAGAGTATCAATGTAGAAATTTAGAAAACATTATAGTTGATAGTTTACACCCTTATATATTTAGTTAAAACTATGTTGCATAAATTTTTAATAAAAGTGCAGCTACTATATACTGGAGTGCAAATCGTGTGAATAACCTTGTTCACTGTTGAATAAAAGTGAATTTGTAAAAAATCATAATGCAAAACTTTGACATATTATAGTTTAATATTTATGAGGAAGTATTTATTTTTGAAAAAAATTATTTGATTAATGCAAAAAAAAATAAACATGAATTTTTAAAAGGTAATTTAATTATCCAGACCAGAAAAAACATGTGAAAAACAAAATATTAGGAAAGATCCAATTGCTATAATTTAAGACTATAAGTTCACGTGTGCAAGTGATAAATAAAAAATTCAATGCCTATTAATTGGATGTCCAAGATTTTAGCAAAAGTTGAGAAACATAAGAGATTTTTATGGAAAGAATTGTAGTGGTCGGTTATAGAGATAAATGCCACCTTACCTCTTTACGTAAATATCCTTCAATTATTAAACCCATTCCTGCTTTCCTATTTTTCCTCTAACAGCACGTCTCGTAACATCCGAGTTTTGAATTCCAAATCTCATGTTTCGGCCGCATGATTCAATTAATGTGTGGTTGGATTGAATTCTCATTTCTCTCCTAAGAGAGTGTTCTCACTTGAACCTTCCCCTATATATATATATATATCTTTAACTTAATTTGCCTTAATTTTTTTTAGGAACATAGAAGTAGTAGATTTAGTAATTTGTAAATTTTTTGAAATTTATTTGTTAAATTTGAATTTTAGGGTTAAATTTAGCTATAAAATACTTGAAATTTAGCTATAAAATACTTGAAACCCTATAAATAGCTAAATTTTAGGGTTAGAAATTTAGCTATTGCTTACCTGTAGTCTCGGTTGATGGGACTCACTTGTATGACAAATACAAGGGGGTTCTTCTAGTAGCGGTAGCCATGAACGCTAACCGTGAGATATTTCCTCTTGCATATGCTGTTGTTGAGAGTGAGAATGCTGACAGTTGGTCGTGGTTCTTTAGCTGGGTTATGCGTGATGTGGTTGGAAGTCATCGTAGTGTGTGCATTATCTCCGATCGTCATGCAGGAATTGAAAGTGCATTTAGATCCTTGCCAGAGTTGAGATCGCCACAAGTTTCAAAGCGTTATTGCCTCTGTCACATACGGAGTAATTTCAAGACCAAGTTCAGAAACGCGGATCTGAAAAAATTGTGTTGGCAAGCTGGTAGCACTCCCACAGAACATGAATTTCACGAATGTATGCAACAAATACGAGGCATAAATGAGAGTGCCTTTTTATATTTGAATGAGATTCCTTATGAGATGTGGGCCCTGAGCTATGACGATGGCAAGAGATATGGCATTTTGACGACAAACCTTTCAGAAAGTTTTAACAATGTCTTAAAGGGATGTCGCACATTGCCTATCACCGCACTAGTACAGGCCACATTCGATAAAGTCGTCCAACTGTTTGCCGATCGACGAAATGCGGGAATAATGTGGCACCAAGCTGGATTCTTATATCCAAAGAACATATGGAATGCTGTTCTTGAGCGATCCCAGCGTAGGTATCAGACAACTATTGTCCCGCATAATTTCACAACCGGGATTTACTCTGTAGCCATTAGTTCGCATGATCCGGTGACAATCGATCTGACAAGGCAGGAATGTGGTTGCGGGTATTGGAAGCAGAATGGGCTGCCATGTGTTCACGCATATGCGGTTTGTCGGTTTTTAAAAATATCCATAGACGGCCTCATCCCAGCTGTGTATTCGTTAAATGCGTACATCTGGACGTACGCTTCTGATATTATGCCTATTAATAATTACGTGCGAGAAACACAACATACACTTCTCCCGCCCACAAACAACAGATTTGCTCGAGCCGGTAGGCCACAAAGAACTCGATTTCCCAACGAAATGGATTTGCGTGCTACGCGTAGAGAGAATGAGTAATATTGTATTGTATATTTGTAATGAAATTTAAGTTTTGCATCCAATTTGTAATGAAATATTTGTTTCCCTTTTCGGATCTGTTTCATTGTATGTGACGTTTTTGTTCAGATTAAATTCACATAAAGATAATGATGTAAATTTTATCAGATAAAATTTATCTGATGAAATTAAGTAGATAAAATTTAATAAGATAATTGCAATAACATAAAATTTAATCACATAAATATAATGACATAAAATTTAATAAGATAATTTCAATAAGATCAAATGTAATCATAAATATAATCAGAAAAATTTTATCACATAAAGTTTAATAAGATAACTGAATAAGATCAAATTTCATCACATAAATATAATGAGATAAATTTTATCCGATAAAATTTAAGTGTCATCAACCTAAAATATTCAATACACTCCAACTTATCCGAGTAAAGAAACAAATTTTTTCAATCCTAATCCTATCCGTTCGTTCGAGCTACGCGGATCTACTAAAGAAAAACATTTTATTGGAATCCTAATCCTCACCGTTCTTCACACCTACGCGGATCACCATCTAACCATCCGGATCATCCCTTCCAGTCGGAACACCCTAATCCGACTACATTTTTAATTTTTTTTTTCTGGTCGGAACACTGACTTCTGACAGGAGGTTTTTTTTGTTTTTATATTATTTACTCGACCATTATAAATAGATTTGTTTACACCTCACCTCATATTTTCACATCTCAATACATAATAATTACAATATTATTCTTCAATCTATCAAGCTATTCCTCTCGAACCTTTGAGATTAGCCTCTTTTCAGGTTAGTTAATTTTCAATTATATGAGTATAGAAGTAGTTAATTTTGTAATTTGTGAATTTTTAATTTAGATTGTAAAATTAGACTTTGAGAGTATCATTTAATTATGTAAGGTGTGTCATTTGATCAACCACCACCTCAATTCTCAACGCATCAATCCGTCACATTTGATCAACCACCGCCGTATTATGAATCTTATCAGTTCACTAGGCAACCCGATGATTTTGTTGACTCATTTCTGAGTTCATCATATTTCTATGGAGACCCAACGGTGCCTTGGAACAGTGGCGGTGGAGACGGAGCAGGGCCGAGCACACAACATTAGCTGTAGTATTAAATTTAATGTTATATGTACTCTCTATTCATTAATGAATTACATTGAAAAGTACATTCTTTTTGTTCACTTCCTTTAAAATTACTAAAATTGCCCTCAAAACACCATCATAGTTGTACCTAATTTGACAAATAAATTAAATCAAAATTACACTTCAAATTACAAAAATTGCAATTAAAAAAAAATTCACAATACAAATGCATTACAAAACAATATAAAGCAATCAAATGTTTTATACTACACATACAAAATGTTTAGATTTTAAAAAAACATGTGATTAATATAATTAAACTTTTAAACTTGGAATGGATAAAACTCAAAAAAATTATACCAAAAAGTTTTCATTTAACCCTACAATTTCAAACTTTAACATTTTTATAACTACAAATAAAAAAAAGTGGGTCGGAATCACCTAATCCGACAACTAAAAAAAAAGACAACAATTTTTTTTAAAAAAAGGGGGTCGGAATCACCTAATCCGACAACTAAAAAAAAATAAATTAAATGGGGTCGGAATGGGGTGTTCCGACGGGGAGTGTGGGTTTTTTTTGAAACCCTAATTCCTTGTCGGAATTGGGTAATCCGACCTGCGCTATTTGGTAAAACCTAGTTATTTCCCGCATATCCCCGCTTTTTGGTAAATCACCCATTAGAATTCATTCTTACTTTATTTACACTTTATCAATTCAATACCAACCACACAATTCCACTTTTTCTTAAAAACCACACCACCCCTCCGTCTCAAACCCCTCCGTCCGTCCCAATAATCAAACCACGGCTACTATACATCTGCCGTTTGCGTATTAATATGGAGCGTCTATTCCAACAAGACGATCATGCCAGGCAGAGAGTTCGTTTTCCCAATCCAAATCTCTTCTTCCAGCTTTCTCTTCTTCCCCAAGATATCCTTTTCGAAATTCTTATTCGACTTGGTGCCAAATCTCGAGGGAAGCTATGCTGCGTTTCCAAATCCTTCCGTTCCATAATCACTGGTCCAAGTTTCGTCGAGTTTCACCGGAATTGGTCCACGGCGGCTGACCGCGGCACAACCATACTCTTCTCTATTTCAGCTCCGGTTGATACTCCTAAATCTGATGACTTCACGGACAAATCCGTGTGGTTCAAGTACTGTTCCCCGCCGGAGGAGTTTTACACCATAAATTACAAATCTCTCGAAGGAAATCAGCCCCTTGAAGCAAAACGTGTTAGGCACATGGACAAAGTTGGCAACTTCAGCGAATTCCGATACGGGTCTTCCGCGGGAGATCTGATATGTCTCTCCGACTGCCTTGATGGAGGAAAAGGGGTGATTTGCAACCTCAGATCCGGACAACAGACTGCCCTCCTGACAACAACTCCGGATTGGGCCGTTTATCAGACCAATGCTTTCGTGCTCTTGGGATTCGACAGCTCCTCGGCAACATACAAAGTTTTGAAATCGGAATTTGGTGACCCTACCGTCAAGCACTGGGTGTTGACACTGGGCGTGGATGCAACCTGGCGGGAGATCAACTCCTCTGCACAATTTTACCCTGGTTGCCATTACAACACTAGTGTTTGCATAAATGGTGTTCTCTATTTCTACAATGGGAGGCGGACGAAAGCAGCAGTCCGTGACTTTCCCATTGTGGCATTCGATCTCAGATCGGAGACTTTCCGCCTGATTGCTCTCCCTCAGGCCAAAAGTGTAATGGAAGCTATGGAACAAGGTGATATGGCGAAATCCTCTTTTGTAGAATTGGACGGACGGTTTACTGTCATTCGTATCTTTCAAAACATGCTTATTACCTGGAGTTTGGATATGGTGGCGAACTCGGCCTCATGCTGGAAGAAACACCATTTCCTTCTTCCATTTGAGCTGCATGGGCCGTTTCAGGTGGCCGGAAGTAAAACTTTTTGCACTCTTACAACAATTCCCACCGGGGAAATAGTGGTTTTAACCCGCACGGGTGAGACATGTTCTGTTTGGGTACTGTTTGATAAGTTTGGACCAGAAGGCCTGATTTGGAAGAAATTTGGAATCAACGGACTCGGAGACTTTTCTAATTATGGTGTCCAGGCATTCAAAGCTGTAATGGTGCAAAATCTTGCTGAAAATGTCTTGCACCCTGAATAGGCCGGACATAATGGTCAGTTAGATGAGTAAATATAGTTATTATATAAGCATTTGTTATATACAATTGATCACAATAATGTTCTTAAAAATGTATTCCATTGCACAAACTTCGGTTACATGTAGTTATTTATTCATGTCTTAATTACAAGCGTAGTTTTATCTTGTTTAGATTAGATAGTCAAGAACGCATGCGTCTAGGTGCAAGGAAAATGAGTTCACTATTCGTTGTCGAGACCTAAATTTTAACAGGCGATACAAATTTGTAGTTCTGGTGCAAAAGAAAAAGAGACCTATTAAATCTTCATAAGAAAAAAATCAGAATTTGAAAGATGAGAATTGTTATTTTTGTAATTTGGGATGAATGTATTTTTCTAGGTGTACGTTGTAGCAATAAAAGAAATGAACTAAACCACATGTTTCCATCTTTATGACCTATTCTCCCATATTTTTGTCATCTTGAAGTATTACAGTTGTTAGAAGGGAGTAGAACAAATTCCAAACAAGAATAGAACATAAATAAATTATACTGTTAGTTTCGATAATGAGTTATTTTCAGTCACATACTCACATGGTCATTTTGAAAATTTTATTCAAAAGTTGGGTTTGTTTGGGATAACGGATAGTTTGAATTATTTAAAGAAAAATCTATAATCTATAAATACATAAAAGCAATACTACTTTTTACTGTTGTCTCAATCTCCTGCCTAACATTATTCTGCATCTCAACCGTCCATCTCAACATCCCGTCCATTAAACCACATCTCGTCGTCCTGGTCTCCTGGATTCACTTCAACCTCCATGAGAAATCATTGTCCATCTATCCCTAATCAAACATTCCGCTTCATCTAAACCCTTATCCACCCTCACCTTCATCCGAATCATCCCAACCGTGCGAAGCAGAAACTTACACCATTGATCAGAATCATTTCCAATCCTTATCAAACATTTTTATTTGATTGTTCAAGAAAAACAACGATGGAGAACATCGTGTGAAGCAGAAATTCATCATTGAAGACCATATAACGAAGAAGAAGAATAAGGTTTCAAAGACTTTCAAAGAAGCAGAGATGCCTCCTTGCTCTCGCAGCAAGCGAAGGTCAGTAAAACAACAGTCATAAATCATTTGATTTGAGCTGATTATCGGGATTATCATTTTCCAATTGCTGAAGCGCTTTTTCTCCGTTGGAGACGATCTGGATGTCTGGACTTACCATGCCAACGCCCTTTTCTCAGTTGCGAAATGCTATCGTAAAAGCATTCATTTCATGCTTTTAAATTCTGCATTTTTTCAACAATGTATTTTCATTCACATTCTCATCTCTTTCCTTTCAACTTTTTATGTAAATTAGTTCTATTTTTATGATGATGATATAGGTGGATCACCCTGTAACAGAGTGGTGTTCAACGAGCTATTCACTAGGCAAGAAATGGTGTTCCACAGATTGCGACTATAAGGCGTTTGAATGCTCTTCTGTTTATACTTCATATCAGGTTATAACTTCGTTCCAACTCTTATTAATTCTTTCCTTTAACTTACATAATTAATATATTTTTTATTAGTTTTCTTTTCACTTTTCTTTAGTTGTATGCTATTCACGCTAGTGGAATGCCATTTCCCTGAATCCGGTTAAATCTCTTTTCTTCCAAGAATGGTGTTCACTGTTTCCGCTTCTCTGAAGTAAGTACCTGCAATTTACTTATATAAATTAGTAAACTCTGCTAATACACGTTTTCTATTTGAGAATGATTTAATTTGAATGTCTTATTATATACTCTCTAGAGTTTAAAGAAGTGTTTGTTGGTTGCTAACTTGCTATACATAGCATAGGACAACTGTACATGCATTCAAGTTTTAAAACAAGAATAGCAGGCAGAGATGAAGAGACACTTCCATGTGCACGCATGCAAGTTTTAAGAGGCACAGTTGGGTTAAATTCCCGTGAAATAATTAATCAAAAGGGTTGACCTTTTTCTGTATGGGGTCTTTCCAAATGGGGGCGATCATTGTGAATTATAGAATGCTCATTTCGACTTTTGTTAAATGCCTTTTTTTAGAATAATGGGTTTTTTCCTCATGTGCTTGAAAAGTTATCAACTCATTTTCATATAGGATGTCAGGATAGTGCTTTATTAGGCATATTGAGTTCAGGTTAGAGGGTTAAAAGTTGTATGCATTCAACACTTTTCAATCCCGTGCCATATATACTCAAAAGATATTTCCCGAATCCCTGTGAAACAAGGATAGGTCTCTAAGTACTAAAATAACACAGCCAGAATAAAACATATGTTTAAGTTGGTGATCTGTTTTTTATTAGAATTAGAATAAGGAGATCATTGTGAATAAGAGAATGCTCATTTTGACATGTGACAAGTGCTTTTCTATTTGAATAGTGACCGCGAGAAATTTGATACTGTGATAATCTGGAGCAATTTGAATGAGAGAAAAAACATGTTTGATTTCAATTTATTATTTTTTTATTCTTTGATATTCTGGGCAATGACCAACAACACCAGCAAAACCAGATTAATAAAGAAATAAGGAGAATAATGCCTTTTCACCATCTGGATACAAAAGTTCATGATATATAAGGAAATTTATCAGATTAGAGATCTCTAATATTAGCACTAATATATTTCTGTTATCCGAAATATGTTCTTTTAAGTATAAGAGCTTTTGTTTTTAATATTTCATTTCCATTGTGTTCATCCTTCATCCTTTGAGTTCAATTTCTTATCTGCAAGGAGTTTTTTTGTTGTTGTATACTCTAAGACTTCTAATCTTCCCATATATGTTTCTACTAGAGGCTTCTTTTACATTTGGACATGTGTAAAAGGATTTACATATTGAAATCGTGTATAGATTTCAAAAGAAGCTTGACACGCCTCCTCAAAAGCGAACAACAGCTCTGAAACCACTCATGTAATTCAGTTTATTTCTTTATAATGGATTCTTCTTGATTTTGATGAAGTTAATTTTTTCCCCTGTCATTGTCTTAGTAACTCATAAATTTGCCATGTATTTGCCTTAAGATCTTATGATCAAGGAGTATTATTTTTAATTGTATACTACTGTAATCTTTCTAATCACCCTATCTACTCGAGGTTTCCTTTTACAATTGAACACTTGATGTTACAAGCAGTGTTATAAGCTTTTAGCATGTCGTTGGAGCTGCTCAAATATAGTCTCAGAGTTATTGTTTTAGTTTGCAGGTTAAATAAATATATAGTTTTATCTCTATAAGGTGTGTGTGCAGATATGTTTGAAGTAGTCTTGAATCAGTAGGTGATTTTATCCTAAGAGTAATTTTTTTTTTGGATGAAATGTAAATATATATTAACACCCAGAAAAACTATACATCACATATCCTAGATCTCCTAAATCCTCCCCCATTCCCACGTAATGTGAGGGTGAAAGGAGGTTTTTATTTGATCTAATCTATGCCACAAAATACCAAGTATAGTACTTGGCTCATCAAGAGGTTCAAAAATACATCATATCTGTCCATGCAAAGGCTAAATTCTAAACAAAGTACAACACTACCAAAGGTGTTGTTACATCAAACACCATACAGTCCAAGACCATGCTTGATGCCGCGGCATCCATGATGTCCATGCCGCGGTGTGTGAGGTACCCAAGCCGCAGCATCCATAATATCCATGCCTCGGCGCCCCCAACCAACATGTATCGGTCTATCCAAAAACCCCGACATCCATAATATCCATGCCGCAAGTCCTTCTACTCAGAAAGTAATCAAGTCATGCGGGTATAAACTGAAAAGTATTTTATACACCACATGCTTAATTTTTGCAATCACTTCCTCTTCCTGTATGTCCCCCTCATCAAATCGGTTAGTGTTCCTAGCGTGCCAAAGATAGTAAACCACAGCTCCAAACGCAATCCGAATAGCTTTCCCTTTGATCTTTGATCCTTTATGATCCTTCAAGATCCATTTGATGGAGCTAGACATCGTGGTCATCTCTCGAGTCATGCCTAACCATTCCTTGATTTTTTCCCAGACCCTAAAAGTAAAATGACAACGAAAAAATAGGTGTGGCATTGTTTCCAATCCACCCTTGCATAGGTCACAACGATTAACCAAATGTAGGTAACCAAGGTTATCCTGTGTAGGTAACCGGTTCCTCATAGCAAGCCACACATTAAATGAGAACTTCGGAGGGATATAAGACTTCCAAATGAAGCTCATCCACACTCTCGATGTTCCTTTAATTCTCAACAAGTCATAGATCTTTCCGGAAAGAAGTTTACCATTAATGGATCTACTATTTAGGCCCATAATGGTATCATTCAAATTGTTAAAGCATCCCAAAATTCGGTCTCGGATGTGACTCAATTTCTTCATGAACATTGAGTCACGAGTGTGTGGGATAAAATCCCACACGCTCCTACCCTTAAGGTACACCCCATTTACCCACCTCACCCAAAGAGTGTCTTTTTTCCTATGGACATCCCAAAGTGTCCGAGACAGGAGAGCATGGTTCCAGATCTTGGCATTAAGAATGCCAAGGCCCCCCTCCTCTTTTGGAAGACAAATGTCGTCCCAAGCCACTTTAGAATATTTCCCACCCCATAGAAAAATTCGGCAAATAGAGACTATCCTATCTAGGATTGTTTGGGGGACCGGGAAAACCTGGAGCCAAAAAGATTGGACCCCTTGGATCACAGATCTTATCAGCTCTAGTTTTCCGGCATAGGATAAAGTCTTTGTGTTCCATGCTTTTAAAAAATCCGATATAGTGTCTAGCAGCGGTGAGTATTGCGCCACAGAAACCTTTAGGGGGGCAAGTGGAATTCCGAGGTATTTTACCGGGAATGTGCCACGCCCAAAGTCCACAAGGGCCATAATCTCCTGAAGATCATTCTCATTAACTCCACCAACAAAAATGTTTGACTTATCATGATTCACTTTAAGGCCCGATGCATCCCCAAACTCTTCAAGGGCTTTGACAAGTATTTCAATTGAGTAAGTGTCGCCCCGAGAGAAGAGTATTAAGTCATCTGCGTAAGCCAAGTGTGTCAATCCTAGTTTAGCACATTGGGGATGAAAATTAAAATTTGGCCCTTTGGTTTTCAAGTTAATAAGTCGAGAAAAATATTCTAAGCAAAGGACAAATAGTAGTGGAGACATTGGATCTCCCTGCCTAATGCCCCTCTTACCCTGAAAGAAACCATACAATGTACCATTCAAGGAGACGGAGAATGAAGCCGTGGTTACGCACTCCATAATCCATCCAATAAATCTCGCCGGGAAGCCCAAGCCCCTCAAGACCTTTTGAAGAAAGCTCCAAGAAATAGTATCATAGGCCTTGCGCAAA